TGTGCAAGCAGGAGGAGGGGCCTGGGCAACCGAGCGAGCAAACCGCTGGGCACATGGACATCATTGGCGTTCCAGGGGGGGGGGGGGGGGGCCGGGCGTTCCCTGGCGCATCCTAGTAGGAAGGCGTCCGACGACCCGTGAGGCCCCCATGGGGCGCCCTGGAAGTCCTTGGGGATTCCTGGCAGTTCGCTGGGGCATTCTGAAGCACTTACTGTCTGCACTGAGAGTAGACGTTGTCGAGCACGCGCGCTGGCAAACAGCTTGAGCCATCCCCAGTAACTGGGCGCGAGCGGGTCCGTGCAAACACCCTGGCGGCTCTCCCCATGGGCGTGCTGAAGCAAGCGTTTCGCCTGCGATACCTTCACACGCTGCTCTGAATCCAGACGAGCCCGAGCACGCCCACTGGCAAGTCGCCTGAGCCATCCCCACGCTCCTGGGCGCGAGTGGGCCAGTGTGCAAGCACTCTGGCGGTCTCATCGGGGATGCTGAAACAGCATGGGGCACGAACGATTCCCCGTGTGAGCGGGCCTGATATGAGCGGGTGCGACGGCGATCGAGTGTGCGCGCGTGTGAGTGCGCGCACGAGACATTGGCCGTGTGAGTGAGTCTGAGGGTGGCAACGCCTGAAGCGGAAGAAGAGGACGCGAGGAGGAGGAGGAGGAGGGGGAGGAGGATGAAGAGGAGGTGGAAGTGATGGAGCCGGCGACGTCAAGTAATTGTTCGGCGCGGGGATCCCCATAATTAGGTGAATTGGATTTTCAGGCAAGTTCCGTTGTGGGCGTCTGGTTGTGAATGCTTGCGTGTAAGAAGGATACGACGACGACGACGGCGGCTACGATGAAGGACGACGACGGCGACGAATCACAGGCAGACAGGCGATGAACAGGCTCCCGCTCTTTGTTCCTTTTTCCTCGTCGGAACCCCTCCGTTATCTTCCGTTCTCCTCCCATTTTCTTCCTGCGTCCTCCTCATTCCTCCTCCGTCTTCCCTCCTCTTTCCTGGCGGCCGTACTTGTTTGTCCTCCTGCGTGATATTCCTTCCTCCTCCTCGTCCTCCCTGTTCCTCCGTCATCACTTCTCCTTTCTCCTCCTGGGCAAGTGTCCTCCTTCCTGGCGGCCTTCTCACCTGTGCTTCTCCTTCCTCCTCGTCTTAGCCCTTCCCTTCTCTTCATGTGTCCTCCCTTCTTCTTCTTATTCTTCTTCTTCTTCTTCTTATTCTTCTTCTTCTTCTTCTTATTATTATTATTCTTCTTCTTCTTCTTCTTTTCGCGTCATCCTCCGTCTTCCTTCGACGGCCGCCATTCTCCTTATATTCGAGGCGATCGCTGGGCTCCGAGAACTTCAGAGCGAGCGTCTCGCCCGAGACGTCCCCGTAACCTGGCCGCGAGCCTGCGGGTGCAACCATCCCTGGCGGCTTCCCCTTGGGGTTCCTATGACCAGGGCCTCGCTCGAGACATCCTTTCAATCTCTGCTCAGAACGCCGAGGAGCCTCCTCCTCCTCCTCCTCCTCCTCCTCCTCCCCCTCCTCCCCCTCCTCTTCCTCCTCAATCTCTGCTCAGAACGCCGAGGAGCCCAAGCCACCACACATGCAAACCGCGCCACACATCCCCACAATGCGGCCACGAACGGGCCGGCGGCAGCTCCCTCTCATAGCAGACGAGCTTCGGCCACCAAACAAGCAAACCGCTCGAGACATCCGCACAAGCTGGGCTCCTTGGGGTGTTGAAGCCAGCGCCACGCCGGAGACATCCTTACAATCTGCTTTGAAAGCTGAGAAGTCCAAAGCATCACACAGGCAAACCACCGCGTGAGCCATCCCACAATCCAGGCCCATATGGTTGCTGAAGCCATCAGATCCCATTAGACATTCTCGCAATCAGATTTGACAGCGGACGAGTCTGGACGCCATACAGGCAAACCACATGAGACATCCCCACAAATCGGGCGCGAACGGGCCCGTGAAAACACCCTGGCAGCTCCCCCTTGGGAATGCTGAAACCAACGCCTCGTTCGAGGCATTCTCACAATCTGCTCTGAACGCAGACGAGTCTGGGCAAACCGTTTGAGACATCCCCACAACCTGGGCGCGACCTGGCCCGTGCAAACATCCTGGCGGCTCCCCCTTTGGGAGTGCTGAAGCCAGCGTCTCGCCTGAGGCATGTAATAAGCTGCTTTGAAAACCGACGAGTCTGGGCACCGAAGCAGGCAAACCGTTTGAGACATCCCCACTATCTGGGCGCGAACGGGCCCGTGTAATCACTCCTGGCGGCCTCGTGGGGGGTGCCGAAACCAGCGCCTCGCTTGAGACATCCTCACAATCTGTGTTGAAAGCACCGAAATCCCAGCAACCAACCGGGCAAACCGCTTGAGACATCCCCACGATTTGGTCTCGAACAGGTCCGTGTAACCACCCCTGGTTTCCCCCCCGGGAGTACTGAAACCAGCGCCTCGCCCGAGACATCCCCACACATTGTCTTGAAAACGCCGAAGTCTAAGCAACCAAACAGGCAAACCGCTCGAGACATCCCGAGAATCCGTGCGCGAACGGGCTTGTGCAGTCACCTCTGTCGGCAGGGTGCTGAAGCCAGCGCCTCGCTCGAGACATCCTCACAAGTTCCAAGCCACCAAACAGGCACGCGAGCGTTTTTTGAGTCACTGTTTTGCCGATCGGCGCCGGCCCTCGCACCCACCCTCCCCCCCCCCCCCCCATGGAGTAGATCCTGGCTGTTTTTGGCGCCTGTTTCGAGCGGGTGCAGCCTCCCCCATGATGGGCGCCCTCCTGCAAACACTCGCACGAAGCAGAGGTCAGGAGCCAGACCCCCCCCCCCTTTCTCCCCCCCCCCTTCCGCCCAATGTCGAAACGCCGAATAAAAGAACGTTCACCAGACCGCCTGAGACACCCCGGCAACCTGGGCGCGAACGGGCCCGTACAACCACCTCTGGCGGCTTCCTCCCGGGGCATTGAGGCCAGCGCCTCGCTTACGGCATTCTGACAAGCTGCCCTGGAAGCACCGAGGTCCAAGCAGCCAAGCATCAGGAGCGAAAGAAGGACGTACGCGTACATGAATCCACGCTGGTTTCGAGAGCACGCGTTGCACGAATGTTCGCATCATGCGGCCGGTCTCGCGGATCGAGGGGCCGTGTTCATGCACATGGTCGGGCGCGTACGTCCTTTTGGGGGGCTCCCTGGAGCAGGCAACCCGCCCGAGACACCGCCGCAGCTGACAACAAATATCCGGGCGCGAGCTGGCCCGTGCAGAAGGCCACCCCCCGGCGGCTCCCCCGGGGTGGGAGCCCGCGCCCCGCTCGAGGCGTCCTCGCGGTCTGCGGATCCGAGTGCGGGTGCGCTGCAAGTCCGGGCGCGGGCGAATCTGAGCGTGGGTCGTCCGAGTAATGAGCGAGCCCGAGCACGCGCGTGAGCCGAAGAAGAAAAGGCCACACACACACACACACACACACACACAAACTTTTGGCGCTCCGCGCGGGTTTCTTGGAATCGCGCTGGGCCCCCCTCCGGCGGCGCCTCCGGCGCCGCCCCTCGCGCGCCAGGGAGGGGGCTCTGGCGCGGATCCAAGAAATCCGCGCGGAGCGCCGAAAGTTTATGTTTACGCGTGTTCGTTGTTTTTCTTCTAGTGAGTCTGAGTGCGAGTGAGTCCAAGCGTGGACGGGACCTTAACATCGAGAGTGAGTCTGAGCATGGAGTGTTTATGAGCGTGAGCGTGATTGAGTCTGGGCGAGTCTGCGTATGAGTGAGTCGGAGTATCAGTGAGTGTGATTACGGGCCGTCTGAGTATGAGCGAGTCTGAGTATCAGCGTCGAGTCGGTCTGAGTATGGCAGAGGAGGAGGATGTGAGCGGAGTCGGAGGCGTCTGAGTAATAGCAAGAATTCCATCTCAGGATACGGGGAATAACAAGAGCCCCTCCATCTTTGAATGTGCTGCACACTTATAAGAAGCATATGCGCGGTGCTGAGGCGAAAGCCACATTTTGAATTTGGCGTCCCTTCCACCGGTGTATGTGCTGCAAGCTGTTGAAATGAGCGGTGCTAAGGCGGGAGCCGCATTTCGAAAACGACCCCCCTTCCATCTTTGAAGTTGCTGCAATGTTTTGTTTAACGAATGTGCGCGGCGCTACTGCGGGAGCCACAATTGAAAGCGGCCCACCTTTCATCCCTGACGCTGCTGCACACTTCAAGGATGAGTGTGCGCGACGCTGAGGCGAGAGCCACATGGCAGGCTTCGGCTTTGTGAGAGTTCTCTGGCGAAACACTCGGCCCGCCTTACCCACATATCTGGCGGTGTGACAGGAAGCAGATACATCGAAGGAGACGAGATGGAGGAGGAGCAGGAGAAGGAGGAGGAGGAGGAGAAGTGAGGATGGAGAAGGGGAGGAGATGAGGAGGCGGGAGGAGGAGGAGGTTGAGGAGGAGGAAGAGGAGGAAGAGGAGGAAGAGGAGGAGGAGGAGAGATGAGGATGGAGGAGGGGAGGAGGTGAGGAAGGAGGGGAGGAGGTGAGGAGGTGAGGAGATGAGGAGGGGGGAGGGGTAGGAGGAAAAGGAAGGGCTTCCATCCGCGGTTGTTACGGGGCTGGTGATATTGGCCTCGTTCGAGGCTCTAGGTCACGATGCGAGCCGCAGCCCATGGAAAGGGGGATGACCCAGCATTCGCCGAGGAGGAGCTCGAGAAGCTCGAGCTGGAGAAACTTGCGAAGTGACTCTAGCTCAATGAGCACCTTGGCGTCGCCTTTAGCTGGGTTCGGGTGCTGGTAACTATGGATCCGCCTCTGGCTGTTCCGGGCGTGCGGACTCGCGAAACCAGACCTACAAGGAAAGGGGAAGGAGGAGGAGGAGGAGGACGGGAGGAGGAAGGAGGAGGAGGAGGAGGAGGAGGGTGAGGATGTGGAGGAGGAGGGGGAGGGGAGGAGGAGGAGGAGGGGGCGGAGGAGGAGGAAGAGGACGGCGACAAAAATGGCGACGGCGCGCTTGTACCGCCCCGTCCGCAGGCTACTTCCGCGATCACTGGAGAGCGCTCGGGCTGGAGGGCCCCCTGCACGCCGGCGGGGGCGGGAGGGGGGCCTCGTCGTCGTCGCGGGCGTCGCTGTCGTCGCTGCGGGGCGGGGCTTGAGTGCTTTGGCCCAGGTGAGGTCGGGCCTCATCGCCCCAGGCAGCCTCCGAGCTGTGACGAGGAGGTGTGCGTTGATGTCCCTCCCAGGGGGTCTGGCAAGTGTCGAGTAGGTAGGCGGATACGCGACCCCCAACGGCCTCATCTTTCTGATCCCCTCCCACGCCTCCTCCTTCTCCTCCGCCCTCCTTCTCTTCCGCCTCCTCCTTTCTAGTATTAGTTTCATGTGTCTTGCTACTCGACATTCTCAATATCCTTCATATTGTTAGTATAATCCACATGACTCTTAGTAGGATGACAACCAGTAGTATTAGTCGTACGATTATGCTAAGTTATTGGTGTTTGAAGAATGCTTATTATTAATCAGAGTGAGGGCGTCGAACGGTCATTCACTGTCCCTGGGTGCGTGGCTGAAGTGGGATTCCGCGGTGCGGATTCTTGTTGTTGTTGTTTGTTGTTGTTGTTGTTTGTTGTCGTCGTCCCACCCGCAACCCGCCCCGCGACCCACCCGGGACCCACCCCGCGACCCACCCCGCGACCCACCAGCGACCCACCCGCGACCCACCCGCGACCCACCCCGCGACCCACCCCGCGGCCCACCCCGCGACCCCCCCCGCGACCCACCCGCGACCCACCCGCGACCCACCCCGCGACCCACCCCGCGACCCACCCCACGACCCACCCCGCGACCCACCCGCGACCCACCCGCGACCCACCCGCGACCCACCCCGCGACCCGCCCGCGGCCCACCCCGCGACCCACCCGCGACCCACCCGCGACCCACCCGCGACCCACCCGCGACCCACCCGCGACCCACCCCGCGACCCACCCGCGACCCACCCGCGACCCAAACCACGTTCAAGGTACAAACCACCATTTTCGGCGCCTGCGGCGGGCTTTTTTTGCATTCCTTCCAGGTGGAGAGCCCGCGACCCACCCCGCGACCAACTCGCGACCAACCCGCGACCCAAACCACGTTCAGGGTACAAACCACATTTTTCGGCGCCTGCGGCGGGCATCTTTTGCATTCGTTTCAGGTGGAGAGCCCGCGGCCCACCCGCGACCATGTTCAGGGTACAAACCGATTTTTTCGGCGCCTGCGGCGGGCATCTTTTGCAGTCGCTCCAGGTGAAGAACCCGCGGCCCACCCGCGACCCAAACCGCGTTCAGTGTGCAAACCAGATGTTTCGGCGCCTGCGGCGGGCTGTTTTTGCATTCCTTCTAGGTGGAGGGGGAGAGCCCGCGACCCACCCGCGACCAAAACCACGTTCACTGAACAAACCAATGCCGCGCAAGCGCGGCGGCGGATTTTTGCATGCCGTCTGAGCCCGCAACGACCTCTTCAAGCCCCGCGCATCCACGCCAGCCCGTCCAGCAACTTTGCCCTGGCGAGTTGCCTTGATCAGAGAAGTCGGGGAGTATAAAATGGAAAAAATGATTGCGTTGCCGTTATCTTGGGAAAGGAGGGGAAGGCAGGAGGAGTAAACAGGGGACGAGGAGGACGCGGAAGAAGAGAGGATGTAAGGAGAATGTGGAGAAAGAGGAGGAGGAGGAGCAGGAGGACGAGGAGGGGGAGGAGGGGGAGGAGGGGAAGGAGGAGGGCGAGGAGGGGGAGGAGGGGGAGGAGGGGAGGAGGATGATGATGGACGACAATGGGAGGACGATGATGGAGGCCGGTGAGGGGGAGGACGACAATGGGATGATGATGATGGAAGGATGAGGTGGGGAGAGGGAGGACGAGGAAGAAGAGGAGGAGGACGATGACGATGAGGACGAGGACGAGGACGAGGAAGAGGAGGAGGAGAGGAGGAGGAGGAGGAGGAGGAGGAGGAGGAGAAGGAGGAGGAGGAGAGCGCCATCGACAGGGAAGGTGGGTGCCACGAGGTCCGCCGGCTCGACCACGCCCGCGTCGCCCACGCCCGCCCCCTCACTCTTATCCGCAATTGCGGGGTGCTACGTATGGTCACTGTAATCCTATCCTTATAGTGCATATTTCATTCGCATTAAGTGCTCAGTAATAGCATTCATAGTATGACCATTGTTGTTGTTATCAGTAGTAGTGTTATGATTGAGACTATCCTGGTCTTCCTCCCTCCCCCTGCTCCTCTCGTTCTTCCTCACTTCTGCTCCCCTTCCTCTTGCCAATCCTGCCCTCTCCTCATTCCCATCCTTCTGTTTATTATTATTAGTCTCCTCCTCCTGCTCTACCTTTCCGACTCCCTGTCTCTCCCTCTTTCTCTTCCGTCTTCTTCTCCTGCACCTCTTTTCTTATCCTCCTCCGCCTCCACCCTTTTTCGGAACAGGTGGAAGAGGAAGAGGAAACTTCCTCCTCTTCCTCTTCCATCTTCCCTTTCCTCCTCCTTCCTCCTGGCCCCCACTCCTCCTCCCTTCTCCAAGTCCCAGTTCTTTCTCCATCCGTACGTAGCCTTTACGGCTCAAGCCATGTCGGAGCCCAGATTGTTCTGCGCTGCGTCCTTGCTAATGTTCGCTTCGACACGGCGCGGCGCTGCGCACCGTTAGCGAGCCAGTCTGGCAGCTTCCTGCGTCAAGCTCACAAACATCCTCTCGCGCGTACGGCGTTCCGCAATGGCCGTCGCCCTGCAGTGTGGCGTTGTGCGTGTGGCTGTCCACAGAGACTCATGTCGTGGTTCTGGCGCCAGCGCTGCGGCAAGCAGCGCCGGGCCCCGAAGTCTCTCGGAGATCTACGGCCTCTCCGAGGCGTTTGGGCACACGGAGGTGACAGCCGTGCGGTCTTTGGGCAGTTCGGCAGGTCGTCGACGGATCGTCGTCCTTCTTTCGCACGCAGCACCCCGGCCACTGTATGTGCATCGCAGAGAGGTGCGGAGATGGGCGACTGCCATGGCTCATCATCCCAGAACACGAATATCAATGCGCGCCAACGTGGACAGCGACAACATGGGGGACAGCCAAAGCGGCGGGAAAACGGCATCCGGAACTTCTTCCACGGCTCGGACATCGAAGCCGTGCAAGAAGAGCAGGTCAGGGCAGCCACCCGGCCACGACAACACGAGCACAACAACATTATCCATTCTCAGGAGGGAAAGAAACACACAGACACAATTAATCGTCGACTCCCAGGAAAATATGCAAAAATATGGGAAGTGGTGGGGAAGACAAAAACCCAGAAAATATTGGGAAATATGGGGGATATTTTTATTTGTGTGTATTTAGTTGTGTGTTCCAGTTCCCCTTCACATTCATCACGATGGATCCAGGCCGCTTCACTCACAAAATGGTGGTCATCCTCTGAGAGGGCACACGTTTCACGAGCATGATTCTAACATCTTCCGCGTCGAGGCTACGGCGCCATGCCCTGATGGGCATGGGCGCGCTCCCGAGAGGAACGCGCGCGACTCTGGCGTTCGCTTCGCTCGCTTCGCTTCGCTTCGCTTCGTTGCCATTGGTGCGGTTGAGCCTTCTGAGCCTGGTTCTCACTTCCTCCTGGACTCCCCCGTGCTTGTTGCGACGGGACATCTAGCAGTTGGCTTGCAGCATTGCTCGTATCTTGCCGTGCTCGATGCGACAGGGCATCGTATCTCTCAGGCTCTGGATCGGCGTGGTTTGAAGCACAATGGGGCAGTCTCGTAAGGATTGGGCAGCATGGCTGCTCGAAGGAGTCAACGACGGGGCTCGAAAGGGCTCATCGGCTCGCCAAAGGCTCCGCAACTTGACGCCCCACGTCGACGCTGAGTAGGCACGTAGCGTTATTTCGGATCCGCAAGGGCTCATGCGAGAGGAATGCAAGCGATGTGGGATCCCCTGGAAGGCTTTCCCCCAACCCGTCCCATGCCCGTCAAGAGAGTCCTGGGCCCCCTCCCCCTTTGGGAAATTCACCGTTTGAAGACGCGACGCACGAGGCGTCAGGCAGAGGGGCTCCCTCAGCAGGGGGCCACCCATGCGCTTCGCCCGCGCCACGTTACCGGGCCGACGCGGCGGGTCAGGCGGCGAAGTTTTGCAAATCAGGCGCATGGCAGCCAGCGCTTTGAATCCAGCTCGTGGTGGCAGGTCTCTCTGGCTTGGTGCGGTATGGCTGCCCCCCCTTCAGCTGCTGCAGGGAGCTCTGGCAGTTGCGTGCCCGCATCTGACCTCGGACGTTTGCCTAGGTGCAGTTCCGGGGGGAGGTTCGGCCGGTACCGCCTCGGACCTGGCGATCCCCGTCGAAGACCCCATTAAGGTTGTGCACCTATCATTGTCAAGACTGGACCAGGACATGGACGATCTTTTCAACGTTGCCGATGGTCGTGGAGTTGGCCCCCCTCTCCACTACACCTCCCCCGCCCTTTGGAGGCGTGCTTGTAGAAAAACTAGTTGAAGGTCCTGCGACTGTGAAGCTAGGTCCAAGTATAACAACGGGTCTGGGCTGTGCTTCGATGTCATATCTCCTTTCGCTTCTAGCTGTTCACTCCCGGGCATACCGGAGCAAGTCGAACGCTAGTTCGTCAGCGCTTGCGGCCGCTGACTCGGGCCAAGCTGTCGGGCCATCAAGTCGAAGATGTTTGTAGCCTGTGCGGTGCCGTGGGGTGCGCGGTCCTACAGGGGCTTTGGTGTTGCCCAGCTTGCGATTCTCAGCGTTCCGACCTGGCTAAGCCCGCCCTTCTGCGCCGCGTGCGTTCCGAGTTCGGGTGCAGCGAAACTCTTGGCTGTCAGCTTTATTTTTGCTTGTTCAAAGTTGAATCTCCTCATCACTTCCCCCCTCGCTCGCCGCCGATTGACTCGTGGCCAGGACTAGCTGGGACGGGGTCCCCTGGGTCAGGCCTCCTACGGGACCACCGAGCGCCCGGGCCTTTGTGCACTTCGGGTTGGGTGCGCAAGTTTTGGCAGTGCAGCGAATGTTGTTGAAGAGTTCTCGCAGCGAGCAGTGCCCTCCTCCTGGCAGCTGGTCCCGCAAGCTGAACGTAGCCCCGAAGCAATTCCAAGGCATCGGGCATAAGTGTATTGTTGCTGACTTCTCAGAAGGGAGTTTCATTGTTGAGAGCATACAAGTGGCACGCGTGCCATGGCTCTTGCACAAGATGGAGGGGAAAGGAGGAGGAGGAGCAGGAGCAGGAGGAGGAGGAAGAGGAGGAGTAGGAAGAGGAGGAGGAGGAGGAGGAGGAGGAGGAGGAGGAGGGGGTAGAGAGAGGACGAGAAACCAGAGAAGGAGTGCCCACAGAGGGCAGCAAGAAGGGCGTCAGAGGGCGAACTCGAGGAGGCTCTACGGGCCGTCTCCCACGAGATGGCCTCAGAGACCTGTGACATGCCCCCCAGAGGCCTCCAACCGACACCCAAGAAGCCCGCGGAGGGTCCGGAGAGGTCCCCGGGAGCCTTGTAAAAGGCACTGGCGAGGCTCCCCGGGGCAGTGGGTGCGGTGCGACGCCGAAGTGAAGTGGTCAGGGCGGAGGTGGGCGAGGTGGAGAGGGCATTTGGCTGCCAGGGAACGCTGGGGTGCGGGCAGTGCGACGCCGAGAGAGGGTGGTCGGGGCGGAGGGGGTCAGGCTGGGGGGAGGGGGGGTGCGACGCCGAAGTAAAGTGGTCGGGACGGAGGGGGGCAGAGGAGATCGGGACGGCGAGGGCGGCGAGGGCACTGGGCTGCTAGGCGACGGTGAGGGCGGCGCGACGCCGAAATAGAGCGGTCGGGGCGGAGGCGGGACGGTGGTGGTGGTGGTGGGTGTGGGCGGGCGGGGGGGAAACAGGGGCGTGGCGGCGGGGGCGGTGCGGCGCCGAAAGAAAGCGGTCGGGGCGGAGGGGGGCGGTGTGGCGTTGGGCGGCAGGGAGGGGGAAGGGTCGGGGGGCGGGATGGCGGCGGCCGTGCGACGCAGAAATGAAGTGGTCGGGGCGGAGGGGGTGCGGGTGCATTGGGCGGGTGGGAGAGGGAGGGGAGGTCGCGGGGGCGGGGCGGTGGGGGCGGTGCGACGCCGAAATAAAATGATCGGGGCGGAGGGGGGCGGGGTGCACTGGGCGGGTGGGGAGGGGGGGAGGGTGGGGGCGGGGCGGTGGGGGGGGGCGGGGTGCGACGCCGAAATGAACTGGTCGGGGCGGGAGGGGGGCGGGTAGAGGGGACGGGGGGGGCGGTGCGACGCCGAAATAAGTGGTCGGGGCGGAGAGGGTAGTGGTTGGTGTAAGTGGGTGAGTGGAAGGGCGGGAGGGGAGGGGAGGGGCGTCGGGGCGGTGCGGTGCGACGCCGAAATATAGTGGTCGGGGCGGAGGGTTTGCGGGGTGCGGCTGGGGAGGGGGGAAGGGTCGGCGGAGCGGGGCGGTGGGGACGGTGCGACGCCGACATAAAGTGGTCGGTGCGGGGGGGGGGGCGGGGGGCATTTTGAGAGGGGGGAAGGGTCAGGGGGGCGGGCGGGGGGGCGGTGCGACGCCGAAATAAAGTGGTCGGGGCGGGGGGGGGTGGAGAGGGCACTGGACGGGGGGCGGTGTCACCCTGGTGGTGCTGGTGGTGGTGGTGGTTGGTGTATAAGGCGGTCAGGGCGGAGGGCGGCGGGGTGAACAGGGCATTGGACTGGGGGCGGTGTCACGCTGGTGGTTGTGGTGGTTGGTGTATGAAGTGGTCGGGGCGGGGCACTGGACGGGGGAGGTGTCACTCTGGTGGTGTTGGTGGTTGGTGCGGGTGGGTGGGTGGAGGGGCGGGGGGTGCGGGCGGTGGGGGGCGGTGCGACGCCGAAATAAAGTGGCCAGATTTTTACACACCCTGTGCAAGAGAATACTAATGCATTTCTGGAGGGGAGTTGCGTGGTTTGGGGGACCCATGCCAGGCACGCCCCTCCGCTCCAAGTCCCTTGGCTGAGCAGCAAGGCCAAGTTGCAAACAAGTGTGGTTCTCCTTCGATGCACGCAGAAAAAGAGGTTTGCACCCAGCTCTGCAAAGGACTATATCCGACGAGGAGTGAGGCCACAGCAGACCTGGATAGCATTGGCCGCCTTCGAGCGGCTTGAAGGCAGTGGATGTCGAACAAAACAATGATTTGTCCATCTTGCTGTCATTGCTCCTGGCACTCCGTCTCCTCCTCGTGCCCTTTCTACCGCCCAATGTCGCCGCTCGATGAATTCGGTGAGGTGGTCAGTGCAGGGGATTCCCTACAAAACTAGTTCTCCAAAGAAAAATGTCAAGCCCTTCGATGCCACCTGACGTGTCAGATGGGTCGGCCGTGCACCTGGGAACCCATTGAGTTGTTCCTTCTCGTCTGCGCGCACGTATCTACGGTCAGGAAAATGTGATGAATGCGTCGTTCCGCCAGTTCTGGCCCAACGCGCTTCGGTGCGGCACGTTAACCTCGTCGCGGCCCCCAAGCGTCGCGTTTCCTTGCCTGCCGCTCCGCAGAACGGATCGACATGCTCTCCGCTCTCAGGGCATAGTGTGTCACCAGGGCCGCCGCTGCGACACGCTAAGCGAAAGTTCCTGATCGTAGTCTCATCGCGGCCATCCTCTCATTTTCTAACGGGGATGTCTTGTCCTCCGATGCTCCCAGGCGTGTTGAGTGGGTCGAACTCAAGCCTGGTTACCCACATCCTTTTCTCCGCCCCGTCGGTTGGCGGACGAAGTCCTGCGCCTTTTATGTATATTTAATCGCATCGCTCATTCCGCCAGCCCATATTGCGTCGCCGCTGTCGTTTGTCGGGGTGTTGTCAATGCGGTGCCGAGCGTTCGACGACTCGGAGCCCTCTTGGACCGTCGTGGGCGCCTCTTGGGGTCCTCTTGGATCGATGTGGGGCGCCGGAAAGCCGCGCCCAGGAGGAGAACCGTCCCTGGCCCGACCCTGCCAGGGACCTGGCCCGGATACTCTGCGTCCGGGGGCCCCTAGGGGCCGGCCGCCCCGCGCGCGCGGAGTAGAAATACTGTGAAGTTTCTACCGGAGATCTCGGCACGCCTCTGACCGTGCCTAGGTGGTGGGTCAGAGGCCTCATGGATGCTGGCGGGGCTCTCGTGGTCGGTCTCTCTGGTGGGCCTCTGGGAGGCAGTTTGGAAGCTTCTCCGGGGCCGCGTTCGGGCCTCTTGGGGGCCTCCTGGGGGCCTCCTGGGGGCCTCTTGGGGCTGAGAGCTGGACGTTTCGGTCCCTGGTCCCCTTCTTGGAGCCGTTTTGGGGCCCTCTGGGGCCACCTTGGGCCATCTTGGGGCACTCTTGGAGGCCGTCTTGGGCTCTCTTGGGCCCATCTTGGGGGCGTGTCGGGCCGTCTGGGGACGATGTTGGAGGCCTTTGGGGCAGTCCTGGATGCTGTGAACCCCCAAACGTCGCACATGCGGAAAATGCACGCTTGAGGCTCTCTTGACGCTTTTTGAGCCTCTTGAGGCTCTCTCGTAGAGAGCCTCTTGAGTCTCTCTTGGCGCTTTGTCGCGGCCTCTGGGGTCATCTGGGGACTGTCTTGAGCGACTTGGGACGATCTTTCGGCGACTCGGGGCGTCCTGGGCCGCGTATGGGGCGTCCTGGCGCCCTCTTGGCGCTCCTGGAGCGCCCTGGGGGAGTCAGCCGGGGATCGCCCCGGCATCGCCTCGGCATCGACAGGGTTTTTGTTTCGTCCAGGGGTCCCCAGGGGCCGCCACGCGCGCGCGAGCTAGAAATTATTGTTAACTTGTGACCGGGGATCTTAGCACGCCTCTGGCCCGTTGGGCCAGCGAATCTTCGTGAAAACCCCCCGCGCCCCCAATTTGATATTGCCGGGCTGCGCCGCGATCTGTCGATCTGTCGACTGCCCAGAATCCTGCGCCTCGCTGGCGATGCCGACCAGCATCGAATCGGGAGCACGGGGTCGCGCTGACGTTTGCGCCGCCCCCCTGGTCGCGGTGGTGGTGCAGGACTTTGTCCATCAATTTGTCTTCTCCATTCGGGTACGATAGGGTTGGATAAGACGATGTATCTCGAAACAGAGTTTCTGGGTACGGAATATCTACATCGTCTCATCCAGCCTATATGGGATCAGAGGTAAGATGCGACGATGTAGATATTCTCTGACCAGAAAGACCGCTTGAGGTCTCATCGCATCCACCCTCTTCCCACCTGCGGGCTCCACTGCGGCCCGCTCTCCGCTCGACCCCCGTCCGCTTCCCGCTCGACCTGCCCCCGCGCGAGCGCCCCCCGCGAGCCTGGCAAGGCGAAAGGGCAGCGCGCGCGCGTCGGCCTGCACCGACAGCCGCCGCCGCCGTCGCCGCTGCCGCCGCCGCCGCGGCCGCCGTCGCAGTCGCCGCCGCCGCTGTCGCCGCCGCCGCCGCCGTCGCCGTCGTCGCCGCGGCCGCCGCGGCCGCCGCCGCCGCCCCGTCGCCGCGGTGGTGCGCGCGCCCGCCGCGCTGGGCGAGGCGACAACGCGGTGCACGCCTCGGCCAGCGCGTTCGAGGCGCAGGGCCGCCGCCGCGCCGCGAGACCGCGCTGCCACCGCCGCCCCCTCGTCGTCGTCGTCGTCGCCGCCGTCGCCCGAGCTCAGAGAGTCAGTGGCGATGTTCCCGAGACAGTGCCTGCGCGCCTGGTCGCTCCGACGGGAGGGAGACGGGATGGGGGAGGGGAGGAGGTCGGGAAGAAACCATGAAGGGAGGATGAGAATGAGGACGAAGATGAGGATGACGACGACGACGGCGGTGGTGGTGGTGCTGATGGTGGTGGTATTAGTAACGGTGGTGATGGCGATGATGGTGATGCTGATGCTGCTGCTGCTGCTGATGATGATGATGATGATGCTGATGCTGATGCTGATGCTGATGCTGATGCTGATGCTGATGATGATGATGATGATGATGATGATGATGATGATGATGATGATGATGATGGTGATGGTGATGATGTGATGATGATGATGATGATGATGATGATGATGATGATGATGATGATGATGATGATGCTGATGATGATGATGATGATGATGATGATGATGATGATGATGATGATGGTGATGATGGTGATGGTGATGGTGATGGTGATGGTGATGGTGATGGTGATGGTGGTGGTGGTGGTGGTGGTGGTGATGCGGAGGAGGGAGACGCGCAGGGTTGGAGGAGGAGAGATGGTAACAATACGGGATCGCCGCGTGAGGTGGATGAGTAGGAGGAGGAGGAGGAGGGGGAGGAGGAGGAGGAAGGGGGAGAAGGGTGAGACGAGGGAGAAGGTGGATAAGGATTCGGATGAGAAAGATAAGGAGGACCATGAGGACGAGGATGTGAATGATGATGCTGATGATGATGATGCTGCTGCTGATGATGATGATGATGATGATGATAAGGATGATGATGATACGGGTGATGGTGATGATGATGATGATGGCGACGATGATGGTGATGATGAGATGATAGTGAGATGATGATTATGATGGTGATGGTGACGGTGATGACGATGGTGATGGTGATAGTGATGATGACGATGACGATAGCGATGACGATGATGATGATGATGATGATGATGATGATGATGACGATGACGATGACGATGCTGACGATGACGATGACGACGATGCGATCGATGATAGTGATGATGCTGATGATGATGGTGATGATGGTGATCATGATAATGATGATGATGACGATGCCGATGATAATGATGTTGTTGATGATGATGACAATGGCGATGATGGTGGTACGAATGGTGCTGATGCTTATGAGGAGGATGAGGAGGATGAGGAGGATGAGGTGAGGATGATCATGAGGAGGAGGAGGAGGATGAGGATGATAATGAGAATGCGGATGAGGATGATGGTGGTGATGATGATGGTGGTCGTGGTGGTGATGGTGATCATGATCATGATGACGATGACGATGACGACGATGACGATGACGATGACGATGATGATGATGATGATGATGATGATGATGATGATGCTGATGATGCTGATGCTGATGCTGATGCTGATGCTGATGCTAATGATGACGGCGATCATGATGATGATGACGACGACGATGATGATGGTGTTGTGAGGAGGAGGAGGAGGAGGAGGAGGAGGAGGCGGAGGAGGAGGAGGAGGAGGAACTGGGGAAAGTCCACCCTGATATCTCCTCCCTGAGACCTCCTCCCTCCTCTCTCATCCCAGCGCTCACGAGGCGATGGTGGAGCGAACCAACTGGCTGGGTGTCAGGCTGAAGGACGACCCGTTCGGGCAGCAGCTGATCGACAGGGGGTTGCCCGAGGCTACTCTGGAGGAGTGGGCGTCGGACCCCATCGTCTCCTTCGAGGGCAGCCCGGGGACTCAAGGGTGTTCGTGGCTCGGTCGGTCCGGCTCTGTCGCAGTCGGTTGCGCTCGGCCTGTTCGGTTTGGTCGGTTTTTGTGTCGTTGCCGCGTCGCTGCTTCTATGCTGCATGCGGCCTGTCGACCTCGATCAGTGTCGGTTTCACTGTCGGTCACCACCCACCAAACCACCCCAGCCCAGCCCGAAGGCCTCGATGTGCCCACAATTTCCAGTGGGGGGGGGTCCGGGGAACAGTGAGAAAACGCGTATGGAGGCCGTACCCCCCCCCCCACACAACCCCAAATTCGGGTCTGCGGGCCGGGCTCGGGGAAGTCTGTCAGGAGGGAAAGAAACACACAGACACAATTAATCTTCGACCCCCAGGAAAAGATGGGAAAATATGGGAAGTGGGGGGGAAGACAAAAACCTAGAAAATATAGGAAAATATGGGGCATATTTTTATTTGTGTGTATTTATTTGTGTGTCCTGGGGCCCCTTCAGTCTGGTAGGTAGTCCGTCGGCTCGTCCAGTCTTCGGAGGGGCTGCCGCCGTGGGCGGGCCTCGGCTCCGCGCCCCTGGCCAGGCTCCCGGCCAGGCCAGCGCCGGGCCCCGCGTGCGGCGTTTCGTGCTCTCGGGGCCCACGCCGCGGGAGCCCGCGCCAGGGGGTTCTGTCGGGCGTGTCCCCCATACAGGGAGAGCTTCGACGAAAAACAAAAGGTACCCCAAAAATACATCAAAAAGGTCCAAACAAAAAATTAGGTTCTGTCGGGCGTGTCCCCCTACGGGGAGATCTTCGACGAAAAACAAAAGGTACCCCAAGAATACATCAAAAAGGTCAAAAAGCATTACCCCAAAGATACCCCAAACATACATCAAAAAGGTCAAAAAGAAATACAAGATACCCAAAAATACATCAAAAAGATACCCCAAAGGTACCCCAAAAATACATCAAAAAGGTCAAACAAAAATTAAGTAGTCACCAGACTATTGTTGGACTATTTGTCTGATTATTTCTGGGATCTGTTTTATTTTTCGTCGAAAAAAACCCTGTAGGGGGACAGGCCCGAGTTAAGCCAAGGGGGGGGGATCGGCCAGTCCCCTTTGGCAGACCCGGGCTTGGGGGCCGCGCGGGGCCGATCCATTCTTCAGTATCGTTTCGCCGATCCCCATCCCCATCTCCATCCCCTTCGAGGCCCCCACCCAAATGACCACCCCAGTTGGGGATACGCCCCTCGAAACCCGGAGAGAGCGACCTATATCCCCCTCTAGGGAGGTAAATCGGCCAGTGGTGCCCAGGCCACGCCGCTGGGGATGGGGATCGGTTGAACGATACTCACTTCTTGAGGTCGGAAAGGGGTGTGGCGTAAAGGGGTGTGATGCCAATCGTGGAATCGGCGATGTTATCTACGACAGGTAGCCTCGCCAGATCCAGCATTGGCACCACACCCCTTTACGCCACACCCCTGTCCTACCCCCAGATATTTGTTAGGGGGTGTCAAAGAGGGGGGTGATGACTAGGAGGGGGTGGATATCATGGCGGGGGCCATGAGATCTCCCCAGATGTCATGGCGCCCCCTCTTATTTCAAGACTTTCCCAGCCACCCCGCTGGGCCGCGCACATGCCGCCGGCCATGCTTTGCACACGCCCCTCCTGGACAGCCCCCCTCTTGGACGCCCCCGACCTCTCCGCACTCCGCTGACCCGAGTTTGGGGAGCTGCTGAGCGGCCGGCCGGGCTTCGCGACAGGGAAAGTGGCCGGCCCAGGCCTGCGCTGCCTCGGGTCGGTGCGTCCGCGGTGGCCGCAGAAGCGCAAGGACGGATCAGCGACGCGTGGATCGGCGGCGGGTCTTGTCCCCCCTGCAGGAGATCGGCGCTCTCCGTCTCCGCGCCGAGCGGCACTCGCCTCGCGTCTCGGGGGACGCCTTCCCCGATCTGCGGGTTTGGTGCCCTCGTGGCAGGTCTGATTGCGTGACGTCTGACCTCGACGCAAACCTCCGGGTCTTCTGGGGAGGTCGCCGCGGCGGCCGCGGCGGCCGCAAGTCGGGGCAGGGTTTGTCCGAACCATCCTGTGGTGGTGGGTCCTCGCTTTGAAGAGACAGCGCCCCGCGTCCCACCTTCCTCCTCCCCCTCCCCCACCTTCCTCCTCCCCCTCCCCCCCTCCCTCCTCCCAGCCATACCTCTGCCCTCCGCATGTCTGTGTTCCGGCGCACCCAGTGCAATGCTCCGTGGACCCGCAGGGAGCTCCACCGCCGCAGGCCCTAGCGGCAGGTTCTACATGGCTTCGCCTCCCCACTGTGGCGCACCCCTCACACGGTTCGAGGCCATGAGGAGATGAACCGAAGGTCCAAGTAGCGAGGTTTACATGGCGGCGCCGCCCCATTTGGGCGCACCCTTCACACGGTTCGTGGCCCCATAGGGAGCTCCACGGAAGGCCCAAACGGTAGGGTCCACGTGGTGGCGCCGCCCCATTTGGGCGCAGCCTTCACACGGTTCGTGGCCCCATAGGGAGCTCCACGGAAGGCCCAAACGGTAGGGTCCACATGGCAGCGCCGCCCCATTTGGGCGCAGCCCTCGCACGGTTCGTGGCCCCAGAGGGAGCTCCATCTAAGGCCCCAGCGGCAGGGTCCACATGGCGGCGCCGCCCCAATTTGCCGCACCCCTCACGCGTTTGGTGGCCTCATAGGGAGCTTCGCCGAAGGCCCCAGTAGCAGGGTCTACGTGGCGGCGCCGCCCCATCTTGGCGCACCCCTCACACGGTTCGTGGCCCCAGAGGGAGCTCCACCGAAGGCCCAAACGGCAGGGTCCACATGGCGGCGCCGCCCCAATTTGCCGCACCCCTCACGCGTTTGGTGGCCTCATAGGGAGCTTCGCCGAAGGCCCCAGTAGCAGGGTCCACGTGGCGGCGCCGCCCCATTTGGGCACACCCCTCACACGGTTCGTGGCCCCAGAGGGAGCTCCATCTAAGGCCCCAGCGGCGGGGTCCACATGGCGGGGCCGCCCCAATTTGCCACACCCCTCACGCGTTTGGTGGCCCCATAGGAGGACCCACCGAGAGCGGAGCCACAGCACGGCACTCGCAACTGCAGATATGCTCGGGCCCCTCCGTCGCCTGTCTTCTCGGGGCGCTCGAGGCCGCCTGTGCGCTCCCCGTGGCGAAGACTCGCTACGCCCGAGGCCCCCCCTTGCGCTGCACCTCCCGCGGCCGCCCTCCTCTCCTCCTCCTCCTCCTCCTCCTCCTCCTCCTCCTCCTCCTCCTCCTCCTCCTCCTCCTCCTCCTCCTCCTCCTCCTCCTCCTCCACCGGTTTGGCGTGCCTGCGCCCCGCGCGGGCGGCCCGCCGGCTCCTCGACCGCATGGACGTGCGCCTTCCCTGCATCGCCGCTGGCCAGGCCAGCTGTTTTTGTTTGGTCCCGGGGCCTCCTGCAAGGCTGGGCACAAACAGTGCTTGGGGCGATCTCGTGGGCCGCTCTCGCTTCGACTTCGTTCTGCGGCAAGGGCGGACTCGAGACAAAAAAGCGAGGGAGGGCGAGAACAGAACGAAAACGAAAAGCACCGTTCAGGTTCAACCCTGGCCTCTCCTGCGCTGGGCCCTCGTCTCCCCCCTCCTCCTGCTCTCCTTCTCCCGCCTCCCGCCTCCCCTCCCCCCCTCTCGCACCTGCCTGCGACCGTGCCTCCGGCCTGCCTCCTGCCCTGCCTCTCCCACACGTCTGCTGCCCCTGTCTCCTCGCCCTCCCCCGGGGGGGCTGCGATCTGCGGGACCGCCGCCACGTTCGAGGGCTGCCGGGGGGGTCCAGCGAAGTGACGTCCTGCGCAGACCGTAGATCAGACCTCGCGAACTCTGAGGGGCTGCGATCGGCGGAACGGTCGCCGTTTTCGGCCGCTGCTGGGCCCAGCAGAGCGACGTGCCACGCAGACCTAGATCACACCTTGCCATCCCTGGGAGGTTGCGATCTGCGAAACTATCGCCACTTTCGAGGGCTGCTGGGGGGTCGAGCGAAGTCACGTCCCACGCAGGCCTAAATTAGACCTCTCCATCCTTAGGGTGGTGCGATCTGCGAAACTGCCGCCGCTTTCGAGGGTTTTGCTGGGGGGTCCCGCAGAGCGACGTCCTACGCAGACTCAGAGTAGACCCCGCCATCCCTCGGGGTCTGAGATTTGCGAAACTGCCGCCAGTTTTGCAGGGCTGCTGGGGGGTCCAGCAGAGTGACGTCTTACCCAGACCCAGATTGGACCTCTCCATTCCTGGAGGGTTGCGACCTGCGAAATTGTCGCCAGTTTCCAGGACCTTTGGGGGGGTCCAGCGGAGTGACGCCTTACGCAGATTCAGACTAGACCTCGCCATCCCTGGGGGGCCGCGATCTGCGAAACTGTGGCCACTTTCGCGGGCTGCTGGGGAGTACAGCGGAGTGACGTCCCACGCACACCTGAAGTTGGCCTCGCCATCCCTGGGGGGGGCTGCGATTTGCGAAGCTGTCGCCACTTTCGGGGGTTGCTGGGGGGTCCGGCGGTGTGACGTCACACGCAGACCTACATTATACCTCGCCATCTCTGCACGCAGACCTACATTAGACCTCGCCATCCCTGGGGGGCTGTGATCTGCGAAGCTGTCGCCACTTTCGAGGGCTGCTGGGGGGGGGTCCAGACGTCCCGCGCAGACTCAGATTGTTTTTTCCTTTCCCACGAGTATTCCCGAAGACCCGGCGGCGCGCATGCGGGCGCGAAGCTCTCGCACTGCAAGGTGCCAGAAGGAGGCGGAGAATATGGCGGGCATGCTCGGTTTCCTTCGTGTCTTGCACGCGCTAGGAAAAGCTGACCCGCCTGAACGAAAGGAGCGACATGGCGCGGGCCGCGCTGCTTGTCCAGCGTGCAACTGGAAAATGATCGCCACCCTCCTGCCTCAGCCTGGCTTCCTCTTTGTGGCCGTCTTCCTCCATCCACCGCCTCACTGATGCTGTCGCGTGAATGCTTCGGCCCCTCTGCCGCTGTTTCCCCCCCTCGTCCCCACCCCCATTTCCTCGAGCCTAGGGCCTCGGTCCTCATCCTTCTGTTGCTATCTTTGCGAGTCGCGCAGCGCGCGCGCTTCCCATGCAGTTCGCACTGCCAGTGGCGCACCCTGCGCTGCCCCCGCCAAACTTTTCCGGACCAGCTCCTCTTGTCACTACAGTCGGGGCGCTGAGGAAGGAACCTTTTTCGTTGGGGAGGGGCTCGGTGTTCCTTAGTTGTTTTGCAGTTCGCCTTTGGTTTTGCTTAGGGTTTCGATGGGAAATCGAATTTCAACTTATGGAAAATAGGGGCCTCGTTCCTTATTTAGGGTTCCTTAGGTCAACGCCCCGACTGTACTGCAGATGTGTCGGGTGCGTCACAGGGCAGCTTGTCGCCGCGCCGCCTGTTCCGACGCGAGGCCTTACACGTCTCGGGGAGGGCGCGGCCGGCCACCCCGGGCAAACGCCGCCTCGGGCGCCCTGCGCGTTTGCCGCGGGTTTTTGCCGCGGTGCTGGCCTCGTCCTCTGGGGGCGCTGGGCGCAGGGCTTGCCGTGGGTTTGCCGTGGTATCGATGTCGACCACTTGGGCGCGTCGAACACAAACGTCGGGCCGGGCGAAAGGGGGGGATTGGGAAAGGGGGGGTCACGAAATTTGCTGCACGCAGCTGGTTTCGGCCCCACCGAGGGGCCCATTCCTCGATACATGGCCGCCTCCGGCGCCGGGAGGCGCAGGGAAAATCAGCTACGTGAGCTGATTCTCAAACCCCCCCTTTGCTATCCCCCCCTTTCGCCCGACCCGAGCCAGGAGGGACGCGGGTGTATCCAGACCTATGAGGGCCCCGGAGACGGCAGGGCCGTTTTTTCACCGTTTCCAAAAAGATGTCCCCTGAAAGTGAGAACGGCAAAAAGACGGTGGCCGGAAACGGCCAAAAAACGGCTCCAGGATTGGAACCGGAGCCCGAATCGGTCAAAAAACGGCGACTGAACCGGTAAAAAAAACGGCGACGGAACCGGAAAAAAAAGGGCAAGACGGAACCGGTAGAAAAAACGGCCCTGTCGTTTCCAGGGCCCACTAAGATCCAGACCCTTGCGCGCTGCAACAAAATCACGACGGGCGGGAGCTTTCTCGTCGCTTTCGTCTTCCGGGGGCCCTTGGACCGTCCACAAACGATTCGGGATGAAGAGACGGTCCTGGGGAATGGGTCCAGACCGCTGGGGGTCGACGTGGGGGTCGACGTTGTGATGAAATCACGACGTCGGGGGTCTGGGCTACAGGTCAGCTCTGGGCAGCGCTGGGAGGGCGGGGGACAGGCTCGGGGGGGCCGCGCTTTCTGCTGCGAGGCTCGAGAGGTTTTCGGACGGGCTCGCATGCCCTCGACGGGTTTCCAGCCTCGGGGTGCGCTCCCGCGGTGGGGTCCCGCCGAGGGCCTTCTCGGGGGTGCCCGGGATCGCCTCGAGGGGCCGCCGGCGGGGGGCTCCCCGGGCTCCCCGGGGAAGGCTTGGCATCGCTCGGACGTGTGCATTGTTTCTCGGCGAGAACCATCGAGGACCCTCCTGGGCCATCGAGCAAAAAAAAAAAAAATAAAAACTCACGAAACCGAAAAATGCACGGGAAATGGACATCCGAGCGACGGCAAGAAGGCGCATCGACTCCCAATCAATCGCTTGTTGGTCGCCGACAGGGGTTGTGCTGCTCCAACCTCCGTTAGCCTGGATCGCCAGAAAGAATTCCGAGCACCAAGAGAAAGTACCGAAATCGGAGGGTGTTCACGCGTCGGGCCCCAGGAGGCGATACGCGTTCGACACCGTCTCGATGGTCTTCTGGGAGCTCGAGATGATTTCCGAGCTGTGATGCCCAAGTGCGATGCGAACGACACAACGATAAGGGTCCGATATAGCCCACCCCGCCCAGGAGCGTGCGGATTCGCCATCGGGGGACCATCGCCGATCCATCGGCGCTACGTATCGCCGCTTCCAGGTCGATCTGTGTCCACCCTCGAGCCGGCAGCACCTCCACGACGTGGACCCCCGGCTTTCGGGCCACGAGCCCGCTCTCCAGCGGCCTCTTCGGGACGACCGGGGCGCCCCCGGAGAACGCGATCGGCGAGGCGCGCAGCCGCTGGAGAGGGCGCCCCGAGGCTGGAAAGAAGCCGCCGAGGGCCGACGAAGAGACGCCCGAGAGCCTCCAGCCTCGAGCTTTTCCATCCTCGAACCAGCAGCCTCGAACCTCACCGGTGCCCTTCCCAGGCAGGGAGTCCTCGCTGTTCGACCTGTTCGAGAACCTGGACGGCCGCGGGTGCCTCGAGCGGGCGGGCGCGCTCTACGGCGCCACGAGGCGCCATGACCGGCGCACGCGCTGGCTGCATTCTCTCTGGCGCTAGCAAAAGGCCGCCTGGGCTTCTCCGAGCAAGGCCCTTGCCGCAGTGACCTCGCTCGGCCCCACGGCATCCAGAAACACGAAGCGGCACAACCAGAGCACCGCGCGGACCCCCAAGAAATGATGTTTCTGCCGTTATTCTTACGTCGGGCCTGCCCCTACAGGGGGATTTTCGACGAAAAATAAAAATACCCCAGAAATAATCAAAAAAATATTCCAAAAATAGTATGGGGACTATTTTTGTTAGTATGTGTTTACCTTTTCGGGATATTTGGGGGTATTTTTTTATTTTTCGTCGAAAATCCCCCTGTAGGGGGACACGCCCGACATAACGTTATTCCTTCCTCCACACAAGGTCCGGAATTATGGCTTCGCGTGGCGCTCCGCCAGTGCTGGCCCACCACGCCGCGGCATGACGGCTGTCCGCATCCCAGCCCCCGGGGCGTCAGGGCCCCGAGACCGTCCGCTTCCCCCCCGCCGTGCGGAGCGGAGCGGCAGCCATCCGCTTGCCAGGGCACGGCGTGTCGCAGGGGCCGCCGCGGCGACACGCTTGGCACGCTGCCCCGATCTGTCGGTTTCCCGCCAGCAGAAAGCACATTGTTTTCATTGCGCAAGGAATTGCAGTCTCAAGTTATCACGGGTAAATGCATGCGTGTGGGCGAGAGCAGCAAACGGGAAAGGTCACAGAGCATTGTACAACAGAACGCCCGGAGTTGCTCTCCGCACATCACATCAGTGAGAGGCAGAAAGCACATGACCCGTATCCGCGGCCTCGCGGGCCGGGCTTCTGGGCCGCGACCTTGCAGATACGGGGCGCCTTTTCTTCTGCGGCATCGCGCCCCCGAGGCCAGACCGTGAGGGCGCGGACACGGATCTGTTCGCCGCTCGTGAGTCTCTTGGCACTTGGTTGGTGCGCCTGGATATAGGTCGGGCATGCCCTCCTACAGGGGGATTCCGGTCGGGCATGTCCTCCTAGTCAGAGCAAATTCAAAAAAAAACAAAAATACTCAAAAGATCGTCCCCAGATTATTGTTTGACTATTTTTGAAGACTCCCCCTGTAGAGGGACAGGCCCGACTTAACGCTAGGGGTGTGTGTGTGTGTGTGTGTCAAGAGGAGGGTCAAGCGCCGACCCAAGAGACCTGAGCGGACCCCCAAGCGTGTACAGTGGGGGCCCATGCCAAGAGGCGCCCTACTTGCCTCCAGGGTGCCCTGGGTTTCTTCGGTTTCGATGGCTTCACAAGTGAAAAAAGTGTGTCGTTCCCACACCAAGAACGAGTGGACGTCCTGGGGTCTCAGGGTTTGGTTTCTTGTGCAAGGTTTCTTGTGGTCGGGCCCCTACTGTATGCCCATGTTGGAGGACAGTGGCTGCAAACCTACATCGATCCTGGTCAGCCCGATCTTGGACCCGGGAGGGGCCCGGCCGGGAGCGGTGTGGTATAGTCGGCGCCTTCCGGTTACAGTGGCGGCTCATGCCAAGAGGCACCTTGCTTGTTTCCAGGGTGCCCTGGGTTTCTTCGGTTTCGATGGTTGTGCAAGTGAAAAAGCGTGACGTTCCCACACCAAAAAACGAATGGACGTCCTGGGGTCTCAGGGTTGGGTTTCTTGTGCAGGGTTTCTTGTGGTCGAGCCCCTACCGTATTACCCATCGAGGGCGCTTTCTGCGTTTCTGTTCACTGTTCTGTTCTCTGGCCGACCTACGGCGGCTCAATCCGCGGTATCCCGCACCTCTACACCGATCCTGGCCAGTCAGGTTGGGCCCAGGAGCGGTGTGTATGCCACGTGCCTTGATGCCCAAGCCAAGAGGGTGCACACACCGATCCTGAGCCCAGGATGACAGGGCTCGTTTCGATTCCTCCGATTCGATTCGATTCGACGTTGATGGCCTCCGATTGCGATTCGATTCGACGTCGGATTCCGATTTGGATTTCGATTCCTCAATAACGGCCTATTGGCCTGCCGATTTCCGCCGATTCGATGTTTCCCGATTCGGTCGCCGACTTCCGCCGATCCGATCCATTTCGATCGCCGATCCGACTTATCGAGCCGATTCTGGGGTCGCCCGGGCTGATGTCGGCCAGGGTCGGTGTGGGTGCACGCGCCGCCGCTTCTGGCCCACCACTCTGCGGTGCGACACGCTGGCCAAGTCCCGGTCCCCAGGCGTCAAAAGCCCGAAGCCTTCCCCAGCCTGTCGCCCCCGCGAAGCGGAGCGACACGCTGCCAGTTCGCCAGGGCCTGGCGCGTCGCAGGGGCCGTCGCCGCGACACGCTGAGCAAAAGCTACCGACCGCACAGTTGGCGTCCTGCTTCCGAGCGTCGGCCGCGGAGGTGCAAAGGGAGGGCCCCCCCGTCCTCTCATCGGGGGGAGGGGGGGGGGACCGCGCTCCCGGCGTTGAGCGATGCGTTATCTGTCCCCCCTCGGTGTTGTGACCCCCAGCTGGCGTGTCAGTCCCTGCGGCCTGCTATGACTCGCGTGATGTCGACGGGGGTGCGGTTCGGCGACCTTGGGCCCCTCGAGCATGTGCTGTCCTTGCTCACAGAGGTGTTTTTGTTGCATAGCTCTCAGACTAACCTGAGTGCTTGCGGCCCCGACAGGGAGAGGGCTGCTGCGTGTAAGGCTTCCACCGAGGAGGAGGAGGAGGAGGAGGAGGAGGAGGAGGAGGAGGAGGGGAGGAGGAGGGGGAGGAGGAGGGGGAGGAGGGGGAGGGAGGGAGGAGGAGGAGGAGGAGGAGGAGGAGGAGGAGGAGGAGGAGGAGGAGGAAGAAGAGGGGGAGGAGGAGGAGGAGAGGGAGGAGGAGGAGGAGGGAGGAGGAGGAGGGGAGCAAGGAGCAGGAGCAGGAGGAGCAGGAGGAGGAGGAGCAGCAGCAGGAGGAGGAGGAGGCGGCTGCTGCTGTTACTGTTGCTGTTGTTGTTGCTGCTGATGATGATGGTGATGGTGATGATGATGATGATGATGATCATTTTCATCATGGTGATGATGATCATCATCATCATCATCAGCATCATCATCATCATCATCATCATCTTGAGGATGAGGATGAGGATGAGGATGATGGTGATGGTGATGGTGATGGTGATGATGCTTTTGTTGATGATGATGCTGATGTTGATGATGATGATGATGATGATGATGATGATGATGATGATGATGATGATGATGATGATGATGATGATGATAATGTGATGACGATGACGATGACGATGACGATGACGATGACGATGACGATGACGATGACGATGAGGTGGTGGTTGTGGTAGTGGTGGTGGTGGTGGTGATGATGATGATGATGATGATGATGATGGTGATGATGATGATGATGATGATGATGATGATGATGATGATGATGATGATGATGATGATGATGATGATGATGATGATGGTGGCGGGGAATTGAGATGATGTAGGTGGTACATGGCGCCGTTGCTTTTCACGCGCGTGTGGGTCGGGAACGGAAAGCTGTCCATCCGAGGTTCGCGCGTGACATGGCGGCCCTGTAACCTCCTCAGTTGGGCGCGGCCTCCCTGGAGGGGTGGGAGGGGCATGAAACCGTGTAAGCGATGCCCTCCTCGCTCTGGCGCGGCCTCCCCGGATGGGGTGGGAGGGGCACGAAGAAACCGTGTAAATAATATGGTATCCCGGTACTCTCCTCGCTCTGGCGGGCCTTCACCGGATGGCGCGGGAGGGGCACGAAACCGTGTAAATAGTATAGTATCCCGATGTCCTCCTCGCTCCGGCGGGCCCTCCCCGGATGAGGTGGGAGGGGCACGAGACCGTGTAAAGAGTATGGTATCCCGATACCCTCCTCGCTCTGGCGCGGCTTCCCTGGACGGGGGGGTGGAGAGGCACGACACCGTGTAAATAGTACGGTCTCCCGATACCCTTCTCCGTCTGGCAGGGCCTCCTTGGAAGGGTTGGAGGTGCACGAATCCTTGCAAATAGTATGGTATCCCGATACCTCTTCGCTCTGGCGGAGAGGGGTGGGGGGGCACGAACCCGTGTAAATTGTATGGTATCCCGATACCCTCCTCGGTCCGGCGGGGCCTTCTTGGAGGGATTGGAGGGGAACGAAAATGTGCAAGTAGTAGGGTATCCCGATGCCCTCCTCGCTCTGGCGGGCCATCCCCGGAAGGGGTTGGAGGGGCACGAGACCGCGTAAGTAGTATGGTATCCCGATGCCCTCCTCGGTCCGGCGGGGCCTCCCCTCGGTCCCTCCCCAGAGGGGTTGGAGGGGCACGAGACCGTGTAAATAGTGTGGTATCCCAATACCTCCCTCGGTCCGGCGGGGCCTGGAGGGGTGGGAGGGGCAAGAAACCGTTAAATGTTTATGATATCCCGATACCTTCCTCGCTTTGGCGGGGCCTCCCTGAAGGGGTGGGGGGGCACGAAACCATGTAGATACTATGGTAGCCCGGTAGCCCAATACAGTTCTCGCTTTGGCAGGGCTGCCGTGCAAATCATATGGCATCCCGATACCCCCTTGGTATGGTATGGTATGGTACGGTATAGTAGGTATAGTATGGTAGGGTAGGATGGGATTGTATGGCATGGCATGTCATGGCATGGTGTGGTGTTGCGCGGTGTGGTGTGGTATGGTACGGTGCGTACGGTCAGAGTGAGGGGGCTGAACCGAACGGTCATTCACTGTCCCTGGGTGCGTGGCTGGAGTGGAATTCTGCGATGCTGATTCTTGTTGTTGTTATTATTGTTTGTTGTTATTGTCGTCCCACCCGCGACCCGCCCCGCGACCCACCCGCGACCCACCCCGCGACCCACCCGCGACCCACCCCGCGACACACCCGCGACCCACCCGCGACCCACTCGCGACCCCCCCCGCGACCCACCCGCGACCCACCCCGCGACCCACCCAAATTTTCGGCGTTTGCAGCGGGTTTCTTTTGCTTTCGTTCCAGGTGTAGAGCATGCGACCCACCCGTGACCCAAACCGCGCCCGCGATCCACCCGCGACCCACCCCGACCCACCCGCGACCCACCCCGCGACCCACCCAAAATTGTCGAGAACTTGCGACCCACCCGCGACTCAAACCGCGTTCAGTATTCAAATCAAAATTTTCAGCGCCTGCGGCGGGCTGTTTTTGAATGCCTTCCAGGTGG